CTGAGTAAAAGAGGCGAATAGTTATTATTCTCAGCCGAAGCTGCTCCGAAACAAACGAAGGCAGGCAGGCAGAACGGAGCACTGGATTGAACCTGGATTGATTGGCGGCGGGGTGGGGGTGAACGGGCGCTTCGGGGGAGCTGCGCCGACAGGAAAAGCCACCCTGCTGGCTTCTTTGAAGCAGTTTCTTCCTGGGCTGGTGGAGGAGCGAGAGAGCAACTGAGAGAGGAACGAGGCGGGAGGAAACCGAAGCCACTGAGCCAGAGAGCAGGACAGGCTTTGGTTGCTTCCTCCCTCCCCTTCTTTCATTTGTGTCCTTGATCCCTGATCCCAGCAGCATTCACCGAAGGCGAAGAAAGCCGCCATTTTTATTTTATTTTTATTTTCTTTGCGGCCCGGTGCAAAGTGATCCACGGACCGGTACCGGTCCGCGGCCCGGTGGTTGGGGACCCCTGCCTCAGGAGACCACCCGCCACCTCATCAGGAGCATGCCCAGGTGTTGTAGAGAGGTCATACAGGCACGTGGAGGCCACACACACTACTGAGCCTCATTTTGACTTGTTTTAAGGACATTGCATCAAAGTTGGATCAGCCTGTAGTGTTTTTTTCCACTTTAATTTTGAGTGTAACTCCAAATCCAGACCTCCATGGGTTGCTAAATTTGATATCCATTGATAATTTTTGTGTGATTTTGTCAGCACATTCAACTATGTAATGAACAAAGTATGTAATAAGAATATTTCATTCATTCAGATCTAGGGTCTTATTTTTGTGTTCCCTTTATTTTTTTTGAGCAGTATATTTCAAAGTCTATGCTTTAGACTTTGTTGTATTTTTTAAATAAAGGCTAATAATTCTGTCCATGGGGTTTTCATGGCAAAGATACTGGAGTGGATTGCCATTTCCTTCTCCAGTGGATCATCATCTCTGTGGATCAGAACTCTCTGCAATGACCTGTCCGACTTAGGTGGCCCTTAGCTTCATTGAGCTACACAAGCCCCTTCCCCACGACAATGGACAGTACCAAAAGGCAAAAAGATATGATGCTGGAAGATGAGCCCCTCAGATCGGAAGGTGTCCAATATGCTATTGGGGAAGAGTGGAAGGCTAGCACTAGTAACACCAGAAAGAGTGAAGTGACTGGGCCAAAGCTGAAAGGATGCTCAGCTGTGGATGCATCTGGTGGTGAAAGGAAAGTCCGAAGCTGTAAAGACCTTTTCTCCATAGGAATGTGGAATGTAAGATCCATGAATCAAGGCAAGCTGGACGTGGTCAAACAAGAGATGACAAGACTGAACATCGACATCTTTGGAATTTGCGAACTAAAATGGACAGAAATGAGTGAATTTAATTCAGATGACTATCAGGTATACTACTGCGGGCAAGAATCTCTCAGAAGAAATGGAATAGCCTTCATAGTCAATAAAAGAGTAGGAAAAGCAATACTTGGATACAATCCCCAAAATGACAGAATGATATCAGTTTGAATCCAAGGCAAACCATTCAATATCACAGTAGTCCACGTCTATGCCCCAACCACTGGTGCTGAAGAGAATGAAATTGACTGGTTCTATGAAGCCCTACAGCACCTTATAGAATAATACCAAAAAATGATGTCCTTATCATCATGGGGGAGTGGAATGCTAAAGTAGGAAGCCAAAAGATAACCGGAATAACAGGTAAGTTTGGCTTTGGATACAAAATGAAGCAGGGCACAGGCTGATAAAATTTTGTCAAGAGAATACGACAGTCATAGCAAACACTCTTTTCCAACAACTCAAGAGACGGCTCTACACATGGACATCACCAGACGATCAACACAAAAATCAGACTGACTATGTGCTCTGCAGCCAAAGATGGAGAAGCTCTATACAGTCAGTAAAAACAAGACCAGGAGCTGACTGTGGCTCAGTTCATGAGCTTCTTGTTGCAAAATTTAGGTTTAAATTGAAGAAAGTAGGGAAAAGCAGTAGGCCACTCAGATATGAACTAAATCATATCCCTGATTATTATATAGTAGAGGTGACAAATAGATTTAAGGAACTAGATCTGATAGACAGAGTGCCTGAAGAACTATGGGCGGAGGTTCGCAACATTGTACAAGAGGTAGAAACTAAAACCATCCCAAAGAAAAAGAAATGCAAGAAAGCAAAATGGCTGTCTGAGGAAGCTTTGAAAATAGTGAGGAAAGAAGGGAAGTGAAAGGCAATGGAAAAAGAGAAAGATGCACCCAATTGAATGCAGAATTCCAGAGAATAGCTAGAAGAGATAAATATGCCTTCTTAAATGAACTTGTCAGGGTTCCAGAGATTATCCATTCCAGCCAGTAACTCCAAGACAACCATAATCTCAAAATACTTTTATTAGAATAGAAACTTGGTACCTCTGTGGAATTCCGAAACTAAAGTTTTCCCCCAGACTTCACACAAGGACCCAACCTACAAACCACCCCCTTTTTCCCACATCATACATCACATGAACCAATCCCCCTTCAGCCCCAATTCTTGCTGTGCCATTCACAATGACCTTGAATTACTACAGAATTTATTTTGTCTACTGAGAGCTACTCAAACAGCATCAGCCCCCTCCAATCCTCCGCAGCTGTGTGGCAGCTTTTAATAACAATTCCAAAGCTGACAGGCATCCCCCCTTGAGAAATTCACTTCCTAAAAAGAAACATAAGAAACAAATACAAACAGGGGATAATGTTATATCCTAACCCCCCTCTCCCGCCTCCAAGAGGGTCCTTTGGCTTGTTGGGAAATTTCTCATGAAATTGGTTAACCAATCTATCAGCATGTACATCCCAACTTTTTACCCCAAGTAGCCTCCAAGATTGGGTAACCCTTCCACAATACTAAGTATTTTAACCGTCCTCAGTTAATCTGGAGTCGACGATTCTCTTAACCTCATAATGCTTCTCACCCTGTACAATTAAAGGCTGAAGGGGAGCAGTTGGCAGTGGCCTTATCGTTGATGTAATAGCCGGTTTTAGTAAACTACAATGGAACACTGGGTTTATTTTCCCCAGTAACCGGGGAAGACTTAATTGGACTGTGACTGGATTAATTAC